TTAAATGTAATCCCAGAATTCAAGAGGTGGGACAGGCAGCAGGATCAGGAGTTCAAGGTCACCCTCAATCCTCAGCTACATAGGAAATTTGAGGCCAGCCAAGTCTACATGAGATAATTTCTCAAAGAAACCAAAACCAACCAAACAAAACACAACTCAAATGTCTTTAAATTAGGGAAACAGCAGCTGGAGAGATGGCTCAGCAGTTAAGAGCACTGGCTGCTCTTGCAAAGGACCTGGATTCAAATCTCAGCACCCATGTGGCGGCTAACAACTGTTGGCAACTCTAGTTCCAGGCGATCCGATGCTTTCTTCTGACCTCTTTGGGTATTGTATGACACAGGTACACTTACATACATGCAGGCAATATACTCATACACATAAAATAACAAAAAAAATAAATAAAATATTTAAATGAGGGGACCAGCTAGAAGACAGAACATCATTGATAATGTTCACAGAGTTCTTGATTACACTGGGAGACAACATACAACATAATGTTAATTTTAAAACACAGGTTCAAGAGACTAAAGAAAAAAGGTGTAGCAAAAAGGGTGGAGGCAAACATATCAAAATGTTAATAGTGATCGTTTCTAGAGAGTCGGATTATGAATTTTTTTGTATTTATACTTTCCTATATATTGTCAATGTTCCTCATCTATCCACATTAATTGTAATCAGAAAACAGTAAAATGTATTTTATTTTATGTTCTGTTTTTTTGAGATAGAGTTTCATGAAGCTCAGTTTGGCCTTGAACTCCCCTGATCCTCCTTGCCTCCACTTCCCAAGTACTAGGATTACAAGTGTGTACCCCATAGCTGGCTCATATAATTATATCTACATCTATATCTATATTATAATGAAAACTTCTAAGGCTACCAATAGACAAGAACTTAGACATGCTGAGCATTATTAAATATGAAGAAAAAAGCACTGAGCTATTGGCTCTGACATTACAGCCTACAGTTTATTCTCAACACAGTGGCTGGAGTATCCTTTAGAAGGGAAGGTCAGACAGTGCCACCGCTACACTCAAGACCCTCCAAACACTCCTCATTTCACTGAGTATGGAAGCTAGAGTCTTTGCAATGGTCTCCCAAACCAGCACAATTCAATCTCCCTCTGTCTTTAATCTCCTCAATCTTGACATTGCTGCATTTACACTTGTCTCCCTGCTGTGACTTGAACCCTCTAAACACACCTGCGTCAGAACCTTTGCACTGGCTGTATCTCCTTCCCTTGTCACCCAAATGCTTTCCCTCCATAGCCACAGAGTATACTTCAGCTCCTGTGCCCCTTTCCCCTCTTTGTTTGGAGCTCTTCATCACTGTCTGTGAGGTTGCAGAATGGACCTTCTGTGCCCTCTTCCCCTCCCATTTTAAGAGCAGTTTTGCCTAGCACATAGATACTCAATAAATATGCATCAAATGCCCCAATGAATAAATGCTCTAGGTTGTAAATTCAAAATCAGAAGGACTGAGATTCACATGCTCTAAGTGCATTAAACAGGCAGCAACACCAACCTGCCAGTCCCAGAACATTCAGCCAGCATTCGACCCTCTCCAGAGAAATGACTTGCAATTACAGCCAGAGCTGATGGAAGCGAAGCCAGGAGGAGAGGGAGATAAGAGTGTATGGGCAGAGTAGCACACGTGTTTCCATCAGAAACCCGAGTTCTTCCTCATGATCTGCCTTTTGCTGCAGGACAGAACTCCAAATTCCCATCAACGTCTCAGAAGCAGCTATGCGTGATGCTTAAAATCTGACATTTTAAATGCCCTTTCTTTCTAGCTCTTTGTTATGATTAGATATTTTTCCAAGAGAAAAAGACATCAGGAAACCAATTGCCCTGCCTGGCTCTCAGCCCCAAAGCAGAGAGCAGACTCCAGCATGTGGGCCCGGTCCCCACAGACTGATAGACCACAAGCACGTTCACAGCTCCATCCACGTGCACTAAGTAGCCACGGAATGCCTGGTGTCCCAGAGCAGGGACCTTTGATCTTGCTAAACTTTATCAGCTCTTAAAAATTCAAGGACAAGCCGATAGCATAATGCACGGCCTCATAATCTTTGCCTTTGGAAAGATAAGAAAACTCATCCAAAGCTATTTCAGATGTCTCTGGAAATGAGAGTGCTCCAGAGATTAGTATGGGCTGGCAGAGGCCCTCCCTGCAGTGGGTGGCTCAGGACTCTTAAGACTTGTGGAGGTAACTCGTGATGAAGGGGACTAGGCAGCATCCTCAGTAACCCTCCCCACCAAGTGACTGAGCTGGTGGAATTCCCCTTTCCTTTCATCCATTTTCCCTTGCTGCAACATGACCTCCAACATCCTGGCTCACCTGTGACTATTATTTCATCCTAAGATATCTTCTCATGAGACAGTGGGTTTTTTTTAATTAAAAAAATTTTTATTTATTATTTATTTTATGTGTATGCGTGTACTACCTGTATTCGTGTATTACCTGCATGTAGGTAAGTGCACCTGTGTTGTGCAATGCCCACCGGAGGTCAGAGAGGCTGTCAGATCCCCTGGGATCTGGAGTTACGGACAGTTGTTAGCTGCTATGTGGGTACTGGGATTCGAACCTGGGTCTTCTGCAAGAACAACCAGTGTTCTTAATCGCTAAGCCATCTCTCCAGCCCTGAGACAGTGTTTTAAACCATTTCTTTCTTCATGGATGCTGGTGCTCTGCATCTTAAAAGGGTCCCTTAAAGACTGGGAAAAACAGACTAGAGAGGTGATTCAGCAGTTAAGAGCACTGGCTGTTCCTGCAGAGGACCTAGCACCCACATGGCAGCTAACAACCACCTGTAACTCCAGTTCCAGGGGATCCAATGCCCTCTTCTAACCTCCAGGGCATTGCATGCATGGTATACTTACGTACATACAGGCAAAACATTCATACATTAAATAAGTTCATTAAAAATTCAAAAAACACTAGAAAGGCCTCAGCTCAAAGAGCCGCTTCTGAAGGCTAGGAGAAAGGATGTGGGTCTAGTATTTATGAAGTGCCAGACAGTAGGTATGTACACTTCTGCTTGTCGAACCCTGTTAGCAACTCCATGAAGTGGCAGCACTGTCACCATTTGGGGACAAGGGTCCTCCAGGCAGGTCTGAATGTCAGACTACACTTCAAGGCCCTCCTGCCTGCTTCTTCTGTCTTCCAGACACACAGGAATGACAGGGATAAATACATTAACAGCAATATATATATATATATATATATTCTATTGTGGACATCTACCATGCAGAATGACATCAAGTGGCTTTCTGAACACAGTCTGAAATCCCTCTTGACCCCTGGCTTCAAACTCAAGATTCTGCTGGAATCAGGTGTGTGCCACTATGCCCAGCCATTTACTATTTTGAGCACCCAAATGCGCTGCCTGTGGAGCTCTGAGCCCAGCAGCAGGTGAAGACAGCTGGGAGATTGGTCTTCCTGGATATGAGATCCTAAGTATTCCACAGGAGGTGGGGACCACAGCCAAGTCACTAAAAATGGGGCTAGGGAGAGGCTGTCCCACCCGGGAGAGGAGGCTGCAAACAGCAGAGCCTGGCCCCAAGGCAGAAACACGTATGAGAAAGCACATTCGGAGTTGAAAGCCGGCAGCTGTACACACAGCGGGGCCCTGCTCCCCTCCTCTAGGAATAATCCCACTCACCACACACCCAGGATGCCTGGCTCTGATCCAGGGAACTCAGGACCCCAGTGAAAGAAATCACCAAAGAGAGTTACAGGAAACACAGAGGAGGACTGAGCTTTAAAACATCTGATATTAGCCAGGCATGGTGGTGCACGCCTTTAATCCCAGCACTTGGGAGGCAGAAGCAGGCAGATCTTTGTGAGTTCGAGGCCAGCTTGGTCTACACAGTGAGTTCCAGGACAGCTGGGGCTACAAGGAGACCCTGTCTCAAAAAGACCAGAAAAAAAAAATCTGATATTCAAAAGAGAGGAGGAAATGGCACCAGAGCAGTATGCAAGGATGGTGGGGCTGAGACTTACCCAGAACTGAAGACACTTTATGGAACCTCAGAAGAAAAGTGCATATAAAGTACCAGGCAAAATAAACAAAAAGGCAAACTCATCCCTAGAAAGCTAGAGGTTCCCTCCACCCTGCTCCTCCTGCCCCCCTGGGACTTTCTAGGAGCTACCTGCCTTGGTTTGCTCTGGTTGCATTCTGACCTTGGGCAGAGAGGATAAACAAGGGCTTGGGGTAAGAAGAGGCAGTTCTGAGGCTGGAAGATGGCTCAGTAGTTAAGCGCACTGGCTGCTCTTGCAGAGGACCCGGGTTTGATTCCCAGCACCCACATGGCAGCTAACAACTGTCTGTAACTCCAGTTCCAGAGGACCTGACTCCCTCTTCTGACTTCTTCGAGCATTGCACTATGTACATACAGGCATTACATTCATGCACATAAAAAAATAAATAAATAAAATTAAAATAAAAAAATTTAAAAAATAAAAGAAGAGACAGTTCTGCCCCCTACCCCACCCAACTGCCTCAGGGTCCTTGACAATCCCCAACATTTTCCCCGGAATGACTTCCTTCCCAGAACAGGGTCAGAACTGGATGTACAGAACCCTGGCCCCAGAAGAGACACTGTGGGTGGTGGCACCAAGCACTCGGAGGACATTTAACTAGGGTAGCTACTATGACTCCAGTGGCAGCCCCCAAAATGCCACATGCACACATGCAAACAGGAAGGCTTCCCATGTAAACCATGGGCTCCACAAGTACAGCTCCAGGACTCGTTGTCAACTCTACCCAGGGAGATGGGCAAGGTAGCAGGCTGTCCACTCTCCTCCCCCAGACATCCTGGGTAGTCAGGGCCTTCCTTCTAGAAAAGCTCCTGCTAGGGTCCCAGTGAGAGTGGGCCTGGCCCACCCTAGCTCATCCACCTCTCTGCTCACTGCAGATCCTACATAGCCACAGGGGCCGCTTCTGCTAGGGTCCCAGTGAGAGTGGGCCTGACCCACCCTGCCCTGTCCCAGCCTACCTCTCTTTGCTCACTGCAGATCTTACATAGCCACAGGGGCTGCTTCTGTCCAGGGGAGGCCTCAATCCCACATTTCGTGCAGACTTTCTACAAGAGAGAGGACATGTATGTCAATACTTCAGTCACCTCCTCTTGGGCTGTGGGGCTGGGCAGTGGTACCCAAGGGATACTGTGGCATCTTCCAAGAGGATAGTTTTTCTTGGAGCTGCAAAGACAGGTCCCCCTCCCTGCAAAGGTACAGCTAATCCAAGAATTCTTGGATGTCTTTGTGGCCCAGCTGAGGTGTCCCATCTATGGATCTCTACCCATAATCCTGTATTGTGAGGATCATATCAAAATAAGCTAGCGGATCTTCACAGCAGCAGCATGTTCAGCAGCAAAGAACTGGAAATCACCCAAACGCCCAATACCTGGTGAGGATCCAGGCAAAGCCAACAGAAGACAACTCAGCCTCCCCACAGTACACTAAGGCTACCTGCAGATGTGGGCGGGAAATATGGTCCTCTCCCAGAGAAAGTACACACTCGCTAAGAAGCAGGCCAACAACGCCCATGTGTGCCTGACAGGTTAGGAGACTTGGTAAGAAATACCAGTGATAGCTTAAGCCCGTGCATTACTCTGTGCTTTTCACTAATGATTCTGGGACCCCCATCAGACAGTGGCACACCTGTTAGGTGAAGAATCAAGAGTGTGAAAGGACTTGTGAATGTGTCCAAGGTCATGTGGAAAGGGACCTTGAGGACTGGCTGGGCTATGACTCTGGAGCCTTCCTACCAGTCCCTTCAGACATAAATAGGCAAGTCACAGAGTCTAGTGTTTTTCTTTCTATAGAGTTGTTTAAGCTCTTAACATCTAAACATGTATTTTGCTTCCCCTGGAGGCGCAGTACCAAGCAGTGGTGGGGAAGGCCAAGATAAACACTGGGAGGCAGAGGTGGATTTGTTGAGGCTGAGGCTGGTTTCCAGCCCACCAGGGCCGTGTGATTCAGCAATGGTGGGTTCTCCTTTGGAATATGAGACTCCAGTCCCTACAAGTGGAGGCTCTCTCCTGCCCCACACTAAGGGAAGGTTGGATCTGTTGCTTGGCCTTTTCTGCAGGCTGCCAACTGAGCAAGAGACACATCTCTCCACAGAGAGGGAAATGCCATCAACTTGGCTTCTCTAAGCATGTGTCACCAGCCTGAGTCTGCAGGAGAGGAGGGTGTCGGCACACTCAGAAAGGAAGCTGTGACACATTTGTGGGGGCATGGATTGGCCACCATCTGAGCCTTAGGTATGAGAAATGTCACTTCTATGGTTCTCCAAATAAAACAGACTCTGCTCTAAGCTCCCTACCCTCTGGGCTGGCAGGAAAGTCCATCTCAGGTCCCAGGCATCACAGGGATCCCTCCCCAGTTCAGGAAAGTGCTGAGCTTGTAGCCTTTGTGGTATAGGGTGGGTCCCTTTGGAGATGTCCACTGGTCTCTGCTGGTGCTCTTAGCTCTTGGAATCCTTTGAAAAGAGGGGTGGATACCTAAGTGCCAGTCCTGGCTTTGCGATAGTCCAGGCTGGGGGTAGTAAACCTCTCTAGGGACTAGCAGTCTATCTCTTTAACCCTACATCTCATCATGTGTCTTCCCTCCCAGCCTCTCCCCCTTCCATGTGGCCCTCAGGGGGCCACTTTTCTTATACTTAGGAGGTTTGCTAACAGCCTGCCCTGTAACAGAGTGCACTGCCCTCCCAAGGCTACTGAATGAGATCACGGTTTTGAAAACCAGGTGTGACTAAAATATCAATGACTACCATTTATGGAGCAATTATGTATGCCAAGCATAGTGACTCTGGCCACAAAGTATGGAGGAAGTGGGTGATGTGATCCCCATGAACAGATGGGAGAAATGGAGGCCCTGAGATTCTGCAGACTGCTGGGGTCACACAGCTTGTAAGCCACCAAGCAGAACCTTCTTCCAGAGCTTAGCAATAAAGCCCTTCCCCCCGAAGTGTCACATGCTGTCCAGCAACTGAGTGCTGGCTCTACTCAGGTGGGTACTTGAGATGAGGAAGATTCTCAGATAGCTGGGCAGAGAAGCAACACAGAATGACTCTGGGACAAGACTTCATGGGTTCACTGTGGATGGAGTTGCAGCTGGCACTCACACATGCCCTGACACTGGTTCTTAGCCAGTCTGGCTCTGCCCTTAGCTCTCTCTCAGCCCAGGAGCCTCCACTGGCACCCTGCAGGCCTCCCCACAATCTGGTGGTCATTGCCCCTAGGGGGAGAGGACAGTGCAGTGCCGTGTCAGCCTTTGTCTAGGACAGCTCTGTCTGATGTACTGAAAATACACTAATTCCTGGTGGGAGAAACAGAAACTTCTTTTCCACAATGTTGGAGGCCTGGAAGGGCAAATGGACAGCAACCTTATGAAGTGTCCCCACATGGTACAGAACAGGGCTCTGGTTTCTTCCTCCTCTTATAAAGTCTCCAGTGTCAGCACAGGAGCCCCATCCTCATGACCTCTTCTAATCCTAGTAACCTCCCAAACGCCTCACCTCCAAATACTCAATTGGGGTGGGAGCATCAGCATATGGGTCTAAGAGGACACAAATACTCAGTTCATAGCAGCCCCCAACCAGGACTAGGTCTTTCTCTGCTACTGCATGTTAGGATCCCTAGAATGAACACCTCATCTTTTTGTTCTCAACGTCAGTATTACCTCGAGTCTCCCTAAGCACTCACCCCACCCTGCATGGTTTCAGTCTTCTGAAACCACGCTCTTGGCTCCTGCATAGTCAGTGGGTCACAGTGCTGGGATGTAGGCTTTGGGGGAGGCAAGCCTGGGTGGGCCCTTGGGTGGGCTACCTCAGATATTCTCACCTCTAAGATGAGTTCATCGCCTTGAGGACTAACTAAGATCTGTACAAAAAGCCACCAGCACACAGTAAGCACTCAGTAAATGCCCAGCACTGTTATTAGTGACTTCCCATGCATCTGTTCCAAAAGCCTGCATAATTCTTGAGGTCTGCACCATCTAGTGCAGTAGGTACCAGCCACAGAGGCACTTAAAGTGAAATTAGGCTCAACAATATAATATTTGCTAAGTATGAACAATGCCCTAGGTTCTTTAGGACTGGGGGGAAAAGATAACCAAACTCATTAAAATAAACACCTTGATGAATTCCTTTTAGCTGTTCACTTGCTATACCTGGCTGGTAGTCATACTGGGACAGCACAGAAACCGGACATTTTCATCACTGCTGGAAATTGTGATGGACAGTCCTTGGCTGCAGGATTAGTCCTCCCCCAGTCTCAGCTTGCAGGAGTCACATTCTGCCTCAATTGTCTTTCCCCAGGCACTCAGTGATGCTCTGATCAGAGACACTTATGGGCTTCCATGCTTGCCTCCTGCCTCTGCCTACCCATCTGGCTCCTACCCACCCATTTGAATCTACCTGCCTATCCAACCTGCCCACTCATCTACTCTTATAGGCCATCCATGTGCCCATTGTCTATGGGATGCCATATGGGACACAGCCTGGGTTGGAAGACACATGGACAGGGCAGGCAGGACCCAGCCTCACTTTGTACCTGGTGAAGGCTGAGGCTTGCTCAGGGGTCACCTTGCTGAGGGCTGCTCAGCTGCATCACAGAAGGGGCATTGTGGTGGTTTGAATGAGAATGTCCCCTGTATGCTCCAAGTATTTGAACACTTAGTCCCTGGTTCATGGTGCTGTTTGGGGAGTCATGGAACCGTTAGGGGGTACAGACTTGCTGGAGGAAGCATGTCACTGGGGGTGGACTTTGAGAGTATATAGTATGCCCACTTCCAGTCAGGCTTTCTCTTCTTCCTGTGCCTGTTTGAAGATGTGAGCTATCAGCTTTCTGCTCTGGCCACCTCTGCTGCCATGCCTCCCCGCTGTGATAGACTCCTACCCTCTGGAACCATAAGTCAAATAAAACTTTCCTTCTATAAGTTGCCCTTGTCATGGTGTTTCATCACAGCAACAGAAAAGCAACTAATATACACAGGGATGTGGAGTGACTGACTTCCCAAAAGCCCTCTGGGTCATACACAGGGCTTTTTTTTTTTTTTAATTAACCTGTGTGTGTGTGTGTGTGTGTGTATGTGTGTGAGAGAGAGAGAGAGATTGCCTTAGTAGCTCAGAGGACAACTTACAGGAGTCAGTTCTTTCCTTCTACCATGTGGGTTCCAGGGATGGAACTCGAGACATCAGGCTTGACAGCTAGCACCTTTACCTGCTGAATCACCTCACTGGCTTCTAAGTAGGGTTTTGAAAGATGGGGTACACATGTCCTTTGTTACACCATCTGAGGGATGAAATATCCATGATGTTGGGGGTCAGGGAAGAAAACAAGAAGAAAGCTCAAAAAACTATCCTGTCCTCCACCTCCACCCACAGACCTGAGACACAGCTGCCAGTATGGGGACAGGAGCAGCACGCATAGACCAGTTGTCCTCCAGAGGGGAGTGAACACAGAAGCTGAGCTCCAGTCGGGAGAAGGAAGAGAGGAGGGACAGATGGCTGGTCCCTACTAGGGTGTGGACTCCTCACATTTCCCAACAGAGGGCCCAGTGTTGCCTGCCCTCTTGGTTCCAATCAGGGCTGTGTATGGCCTGGTGGAGAGAAGGCCATTCCTATCCCACTTCAGGCAGAAAGGGGTTTCTCGAATGTGTCCTCCACTTCTCCCTTTTGGAGTTCTGTAGGGGGTCAGAAAGGTGGCAGGATGGGGCACACCACCCACATGTGCACAGCCATGTTGGCTACAGCCTCTGGGTCGTCCTCTCTCTCCTGAAGCATGCCTAGCTGCCAAGGGAAGCCAAGCACTCCCTAGAGGCTAGGGCCACAGAGACAACACGCTGTACTTCAAATAATACAGAATTGCTCTTTATTAAATTTCAGATCAAGAAGAAAATAATGAGTCTTCTCCCTTATGAACTTGGTCTTTGTTTCCAAGTTCAAATACAGAATATTAAACAGCTGGTATTATTATTATTTTTTTAAGATAGCTTAAGAAAGAGCAAGCCCTCTCCAACTGGCAAGAGGAGCCTGGGCCTGGGGAAAGCCACTATTTCCTGCCCAGATGGGCTT